GAACTGAAACTTTTTCTCGAAAAAACAATTTGAATCTTAAAATCTCTTGTTCACCATTCTTGAGCTGAGAGTCTATCGGAAACAACTTCTCTACCTTTGAGGCAGGGATAATGACTGCATAATCTCTACCCTCCCTAGACTCCACTTTGTGGGGACTACGTTGTGTATATGTTGTTGTAATCTCTTGTTCACCATTTTGGTACCCATATGCCCTTTTCACATCTGGGGGATGCATTGCAATGTTGATATGCTTGAATATGTTCGTCCTTTTGGTACATGGTATTCTTTCGTGTTCAAGATTCTAATTGGATGATGATTCTTGAAATTTGCAGATGGGTCCATCATTTCCTGTTACAATACAGTCGTTATCGATTGCAGCAGACCGCCATGCAAGGAAGTATGTTCAATGATAGTATTTGAATAGAAGATCCAATTTTAACTTGATACCCTCTCTTAATAGATCCAATTTTAACTTGGTACTATGTTGTACTCATTTGTTTAAATTTCTTGATTTTCCCACATTAGAAAAAAGGTGTTTCCTAGTTATTTTTGTTTCTTCCCCTTTACTGTAATGATCTATGCCCAGCCCTCTGCTTGAAACCCCTTTTTAACTCAAAATTCACTACTGTTGCTTCACATTTTTATTGTTCTGTCAGAGAAAATAAGTATGTTTTCTGTTCTGTGATTACAAGAACTTTCTTTTCTAGAGAGTTCAAATAGTTGAACGCATATTGCTAGAGATAATGGAAGTCGGATTTAAGTTCTGTTGAACTCGTAACTTGCAATTTGTTGGTAAAGGCTTTGCCTCTACCGTGGAATTGCTTAGATGGCTGATTTGAGGCTTGTTGTTTAAGGTTTAGTTGAAGTTTATAATTCTTTGTTGTTTAGCTATTTTAAATCGAACTTAAGATTTTCTTCTTTTAAATCTTTGAAGAATTTCAAGACACAAGGTCATGAAGTTAGCCTTGCCATAACCAATAAAGTTGTTGTCAATGTGATCTTCATGAATTCAAGTCGTAAAAATAAACCTCTTGCAAAAATGTAGGTAAGGTTGGTTGATTGAGGTAGAACTAAAATAAGGTGTTTAGCTGTTCCGCGCTCGTATAACCTTCAAAATGGGTCGTTTTGGCAGTCAAAGTCAAGTTGGCTCCCCAGATAATGTCTTAATGGATGATCACAAAAAAATTGGGCAAAAAAGACGTCGGAATTCTGGATCACCAAAAATTTATGGACTATATACGAAGTTGACAAAATGGGGTTTACCTGCTTCAGAACTCATTTGAACTTGAAAATGGGTTGTTTTGGTCGTCAGGACCAACTGACTCCAAAGTTAACCTCTTAACGGACGTCTTGAGCATAAAAGATGTTGGAATTTTGGATCACTGAAAATCCATGGACATAGCACACGAAAGTCGACAAAATGGGGGGTTTACCTGTTCTGGTGTTTGTTTAACCTCAAAATGGTCCGTTTTGGCAGGGCCAACTGGCTCTATAGCTAACGTCTTAACGAATGTCACAAAAAGTTTGGATAAAAAAGATGTTGGAATTTGAGATCACCAAAAAAGATCGTGAATACACGAAAATTGTCAAAATGAGGGGTTTACTTGCTACGGGGCTCGTTTGAATGCCTAATGCGTGAAATGGAGTGAAAATGATGAGGTTTATGTTGATATGCATTATGACGCTTGAATTGTATATTTTGCCTAGATTATGCTTAAATGAAGTAAGTATATATGTTGAGCATGTTAAAGTGTGTAATGTGATGAATGAAGGTCTAAGCATGTATAGAATTGAATGTAAATGAAATAATGCTTATGTGCAAGGTGTGTTCACATGTATACACACACTCACACTTGAATGAATGAATGAAGCTAAGTTAAGTCAAAAGAGAAGTTTTGGGGTGAACACTCTTCGTAAATTGAGATGAAGTATTTAGTAGCAACCTCACTACATCCTAAGAGCTTTCTAAGATAGGTCGGAGGATGAATGCCCTTCGTGAGTTGAGATGTGGTGTTCACTAGTTATCCTTAATCTATAGTATATAATGTTTAGAATTCGTGGGAGTTATTCCTAGCACCGAAAGGATATGAAGAAGGGATGGTTACACTTTGTGAGTTGAGATGTTGTATTCAAATGTGCCTCTTGAGATGACTACTCCTTGTTAGTAGAGAATGAGTTACTTAATAGCAATCTCCTTATCCCTTAACTATGCGCCCGCATAGGTGTAGCTACTGGGAAAGCCATGTAAAAGCTAAGAGAATGACCTTACTCTAGGCAAGTAAGGATCCCTTATTTGATAGGGTTAATATCAGAATTTCATGTCTAGCTCTCATGGTCTATGTCAGTTAAGATAACCCCCACAAAAGTAATGAAAGAGCTAAGTCTTCTAAAATAGTGTACTACTTATAGTAGGTAGTGGAATGGGACACTATTTATCCATTGCACTAGGTAGGCATTCTGAAAGGAGAGTTTTGATGATCCTTATATGAATTGAATGAACTAAGTCTCCTAAAAGAACGTACTACTTAAGGTAAGTGGTGGTATGCGACGCTATCTATCCATTGCACTAAGTAGACCTTCCGAAAGGGGAGTCTTGGTACTAAGCCTTCTAAAAAAGTGTACTACTTAGGGTAGGTGGTGGAATGGGACGCCATCTACTCATTACACTAAGTACGCATTCCGAAAGGGAAGTCTTTGGTGTGTTGCTTGAGTGTTCTTCTAATGTCTTATCATTGAGTGGGGGTTTGTTCTCCCGAGGTGAGTAAGCCTAAAAGAGAGGATCGCTTTGGTGTATATTGAAGGAGGTGTATGTGCATTTCCTTCATGGCTTACCTTGGTAAGTCTTAGGATAACCTTTGCTAGGAAAACTCCTAAGGAAATGAGTTCACTTTCTCTTTGCTTGACCTTGGAAGTTCACTGTTTTGAAATAAGGGTAGTTCACTGTTAAGTCAAAGAGTTCACTGTAACATTTTAGAAAGCTTACTGTAAATTGCTTCTTTTTGTTAAAATTATGAAAATTCTTTTCTAAGTGTTAAATGATGATTTTTATGTTGTTTTACTTATATATTCTTGAATGTTTTACTTAATTAGCATGAAAATGTATTTATACTAAAATGTTTCTATTTGCATGTTTTTGCATATGCCATACTTAATACATTATTTGTACTAACCCCATACTTTTTTTTTACTTTATAAGTATATGTTTGGAAGCAAGAATAGTTTAGAAGGCGAAGCTTGGAAAAAATACTCTCTCAAGATTTGGTATGTCCTCAATCGAGGACATAGTCTATGTTTCTTAGTTTTATTATTAAGACTTATTATGTATTTCTTTTAATGTAAAGGGTCGTGCCCCTAAGATATTATGTCGTGTCTATAAGATTGGCTTGTGACGAGGAGACTTCCTTAGCATTTTATGAAAAATGTTCCTTTATTAAATTATTCATGAAAAAATTTAATTCCGCACTATTTTTCATGTCTGATGTAATGAACGATAGTTAAAGGGCTTGTACAAGACCCCGAAGGGTCAAGTACGCCTTGTCCCGATCCAAGAATCTCCCTAGCTTCTAGGGGATACTTGCGGGGTTGTGACAGTTTACATGCTCCGGGGCTTGTTTGACCTTCAAAATGGAACATTTTGGTCGTCAGGACCAATCGCATCCATAGATAGCATCTTAACTGAAGTCCACAAAAAATTGGGTAAGAAAGACATCAAAAATTTTGAATCACCAAAAATTCATGGACTATATAGTACATGAAAATCGGCAAAATGGATTTTTCCTGCTTCATGGCTCTTTTGACCTTTAAAATGGGTTGTTTTGATCGTCAAGGCCAAATGGCTCCGTAAATAAAGTCTTAACGAATGTCCACGAAAAAATTTGAGCAAAAAAAACGTCAAAAAAATTTTCACCAAAAATTTAGGGACTATAGCTCATGAAATAGGCTAATGGAGGTTTACTTGCGCAAGGGCTCATTTGACCTTCAAAATGGGTCATTTTGTTCGTCAGTGCTAACTGGATCCATAGCTAACGTCTTAACGGACTTCCACAAAATAATTGGGGAAAAAGACGTTGAAATTCTGGGACACAAAAAAATTGTGAACTATACCACATGAAAATCGTCAAAATTAGTGATTTACCTGCTCCGATGCTTGTTTGACCTTTAAAATGGCTCGTTTTGGTAATCAGGGCCAATTTATATCCACAAATAATGTCTTAACGGACGTCTACAAAAAATTTGGGCAAAAAGACATCGTAATTACAAAGCACCAAAAATTCATGGACTATGGCAAAAAGGCTCGTTTGACCTTGAAATTGAATCGTTTTGGTTGTCAGGACCAACTAGCTCCATAGAAAACGTCTACAAAAAATTTTAGCAAAAAAGACGTCGAAATTTTGGATCTCCAAAAATCTATGGACCATAGCACACGAAAATTGATAAAATTGGGGGAGGGAGGGTTTACTTGCTTTGTGGCTCGTTTAACCTTCAAAATGGGTCGTATTGGTTGTCAAGGCCTACTGAATCCATAGATAACATCTTCGACGGACGTCCACAAAAAATTTGATTAAAAAAGACGTCAAATTCTGAATCATCAAAAAGGATCGAGGTATGTGCACACGAAAATCGTCAAAATGTGGAATTTAGCTGCTCCGGGGCTTGTTTGACCTTCACAATGGGCCGTTTTGACTGTCAGAGTCAATTGTCTCCATATATAACGTCTTAACGAACGTCTACAAAATATTTGAACAAAAAGACATCAAAATTTCAGATCACCAAAAATTTATGGACTGTAATAAACGAAAATTGATAAAATGAAATTTACCTACTTCAAAACTCGTTTATATAGTTTTAATTATCACAATAATTTAATCCTACAACTTATTTTTCGTGACAAGTTTAGGAGAATTTATGATTTTTCCTTTATCAGAACTATACGCATCGAATAATTAACATCTATATTGATATTGATATGCTTTATGAAAGTTGCTCCTTTTAAAAAAAAAAAAACCTATTTTTTAAGTTAAAAATAAAATAATAAAACTAAAGTCAAAATTATAAGTTAATTATGACTTGCTCTTGCTAATCCATTCCAATAAAAGCTATTTTTCCGGCGTTCCACCGGAAAATTCATCGGGATGTCAACTAAAGAACTCTACCGGAGAATTCAGCGTTTCTACAGTTTTTCCAAAATGACGAGTGGCTTTCATCGCCTAATGCACACAATATCCGACGAAGAAAACTGCGCGTTGGAAGTGCAGACGTTTCTCAAGAATAAAGCAGATAAATCGGTGAGTGACATTTTTCAATCTCTAAGTGATTGCAATTTCACATTATCTGAAGATTTCATTCTAAACGTGCTTAAACGGCACCGTTCTGATTGGAAACCAGCTTTTATCTTCTTCAAATGGATATTAGCAGGTGAAAATCCATGTAGGTATTCACCAAATACTGAATCCTTCAATGAAATTCTCGATATTCTTGGTCGTATGAGACGTTTTGATGAACTCAACCAAGTGCTCGACGAAATGTCTAAGAGAGGAAATTTGGTTAATGAAAAAACTTATGGTATTGTGATTAATAGATATGCTGCAGCTCATAGAGTTGAAGATGCAAAAGCGTTTTTCTATAAGAGGAAAAATTTTGGTTTGGAACTTGATCTTATTGCTTTTCAAACTCTTCTTGTGTGTTTATGCCGATACAAACATGTTGAAGATGCTGAATTCTTGTTCTATAATAAGATAATTGAGTTTAAGGATAACATTAAAACTCGGAATATTATTTTGAATGGATGGTGTGTTTTGGGGAATTCACGAGAAGCGAAGAGGTTTTGGAATGATATTGTGACTTCAAAATGTAAGCCGGACAAATTTACATATGGGATATTCATCAATTCATTATGTAAATCCGGGAAAATAAGCAGGGCGGTAGAGTTGTTCCAGACAATGTGGGAAAAAGGGTGTAAGCCAGATGTTGCAATTTGTAATTGTATTATTGATGGATTGTGTTTCAAGAAGAGAATCCCCGAAGCCCTTGAGATTTTTCGTGAAATGAATGAGAGAGATTGTTTACCTGACGTTGTCACTTATAATTCTTTGATTAAGAATTTATGCAAGATTAGAAGGATTGAGAAAGTTTATGAGCTTTTAGACGAGATGGAAACGAAGGGAGAGAGTTGTTTGCCAAATGCTAGAACTTATGGTTACTTGTTGAATTCTGCCAAGACGCCTGAGGAAGCTATTGGGATTTTGGAAAGGATGAATGGAAACCAGTGTAAGATGACTGGAGATATTTACAATTTGTTGTTAAGGTTGTTTATGAGCTGGGATGATCAAGATAAAGTAAAGAGTACGTGGGATGAGATGGAGAGGAGTGGACTAGGACCTGATCAACGATCTTATACAATTATGATTCACGGTCTGTATGAAGGGGGAAGATTAGAGGATGCTTTGTCTTATTTTAATGAAATGATATCAAAGAGTATGGTGCCCGAGCCACAGACAAACAAGTTGGTGGATGTCATGAACACGTTAAAGGAGAAAGGAAAGGAATCGAAGAAGATGGAAATAACGAAAAAGGGGAGGAAGGCCAAGAATACTGGTTAATACATGCTCAGTTTATTATTTTTCTCTTGGCATGCTATTTGTTTACATTAGAACTGAGAAATACAAGCACTTGGAGGGGGTTCTCCGGAATGCAAGCTAGCCAAGGTCAGGAATTTTTTTGTTATGTGCCTCACACGACTAGTGTAGTCATGTGAGGCTTTTGTCTCAGAAAAAAGTGTACCAAAAAGTTTAAGATTCCGGTCCACGTTTTTATGAGATAAAAAGAAGCCTCACACAGCTAGTGTCAATCGTGTGAGGTACATAATAAAGTTTCTCCAAGGTTTTTCTTGGGCTCGGGATTTAATTAGTCTAAGCTAATAGGATCATCTTACGATAAAATATCTCATGGAATGGCCATGAGGAATTTGGAGTGTGACTTTGGCTTGTAACTAGTTTCGTGTGTTCTTAAGCTGATATAGGTTGAACAAACTTCGAGACACGAAAACTTGATAGCATTCCCTCTTATCATGTCATTTCTTAAAGCAATGCACTTGTACATATTGGGTTTCTTACTTTGCAGGGTATATTTATTGCCCAATATAACCCCACGTTGGAGAATGGCGATGTTTAGTTCTGGCCTCGAGTAGCATGATGATTACATATATTGAGTTGCAGAGCTGGTAATTTCGATTTTGGGGGTTGTCACAGCCTCACAGGTTCGTCCATTCTAATCCTTGATGTGGTCGAAACCAGAAAAACTAACTTGTTTTATTGTCCGTGACTCGTGTTTATGATGAGTTCACCCTAATATAAGACTTGGGTGATAGATTGTATCAGTTCAATGACGCCAGAATCAAGGACAAAATCTAGGTGAAGGTTGTAAAAATTAGTTGAAGAATGAAAGTAGTTCTGGATACCAGAGACCAAGAAGTGGTGTTGTGTTGCAGGTGTATAGTTTTAAGGAATACTTTTTCTTGACGGCACAGGCTATCAATGTCCCATAAGTATAACTTAGGAAATCTGTCATTCATTTATGATAATTCGGAATATATTTGTTATTTTTTCCTTGAATAAATTAAATTGTTGTTCGTCAAAGCCTTTTTTCTTTGTTTTTTGATTTTTCGATTTCAAGGCCAGCCCAGGACAATTCTATTACCTGCCTCATATTTTTCTTTTTTTTTTCCTCAATTGAGATGAAATGTACTTTCACCCACTCTTGAATATTTAGAGATAAAGCTTACCAACAAATCATCAAATTGCTATACCTAATTGACAATATTGTTTGAAAAAGAATTCTCAGTTCCCTACAGGTTAGGGGTCGTTTGATCGGGAAACTAGTTATTTCAGAATAAATTTATCCTGAGGTTAGTTATTGTGGGATAACTTATCGCATCAATATGCTATAAATGGTGGGATAAGTTATCATAAACATGTCAACCAAATAAAATATCTTAATTTTATCTCAGGACTATTTTTTATCTCGAAGCTATTTATGTCTATCCCTCACACCAAATGAGTCCACTTTAAGAAGATTTAGGTTATAATGGAAGGTCTATATGTACATGGACAATGGAAGATAAGTTATATTGACGATCATGATAAATTTATATAAAAACTAACATAATATTACTCTAATCTCAAATTTAATCATGATATATCTTACTTTATCCTATCCGATTTGAAAATATTTTATCCTACCATCCAAATAGAAAAAATACAATCTCAAAATTATAATTATGAGATAATTGTCTGTATAATAGACGATAGGTATAGGACAAGTTATAACCTTTGGGAAGTGTGTATACGTACATACATCCGCATTTTAATTATAAAATTTAAAATAATTTTCTACTTGAGCTTCAATTTTGGAGAGAGACAGTAAAAAAATTATTTATATTTAACATAATCAATTTTTATCAACGTTATCTGGTAAAGTATTCTACACGTTACAACAATATTTCTCATATAATGATAATGACATATCAATTAATTTTATCAACAGCCAAAATCCTCTTTTCTTGGGAAGTAAAATAATAAACACGAAATACATAAATATGCTTTTAAAATTGTCTTCGAATTATATTTATGCTTTTAACTTCGAGTGTGCACAGTAGACACTTAAACTTGTATTAAGTTGAACAAATAGACACACATATTCTATATGTCATCCTACATGTCAATTTTTGTCCTAAGTGATGTCCTACATATATTTCGTCATGTAGAACTCGTATGTTTATTTATTTAAAAGTTGGATAATTAAAGTATTTGTTTGTGCATTATAAAAGTTAGAGGTCAGTTAAAATTTGAAACCAAATTTAAGATTCAATATATGTATTATGCCCAAAATTTTTATTCGATAATAAATTTTAAAAGATAATATCAAAAATATTGTTTATTCGTGAAATTTGACTTTTTTCTAAAAAAAAAAAAGAAAAAAGAAGTTTCAGAAACATTTCTCTTCTTCATATTTCAATTAAATCTATGACCAAACACTTAAAAAAAAAAAAAGGACCAATTTTTTTTTTTAAATTACAAAAATATTATGAATTTTTTAAATTTTTAGTCAAAAAAAACACAAAATGTGTCATATTCAGCAAAGCCATGACATCATTTAATGTTGATCACCACGACAAAACCACCTTCTAGATTCTTATAGTATACGATAATTTCTTCCACATATGCCATGACATCATTATCAGTTAACGGAATTAATTTTTACGTATTTCAACTAATTTTACGAAATATAACATCAAATTTACATCATTCTTTTTGGAATTCATAATGGTAACAATTCCAATCAACTTACTTATATGTTTGAACATCATCCACCAAAACTTAAGCAAGTCTAAAATTAATTCTTTTTCATCTCTATCGAATTAAAAAAATCGTCTACGTTATTTATATTTTCTTTATTGACCATTAAGCTTACACTTTGAATGCACCAAAGAATGACCAAGGCAACTCACTCTTTGTCCCCACATACTTGTTACATATCTTGGTCCTATATATAGCCAATCACAAGGGTCATCATCATACCAAGATTACACTCCAATCCACAAAATCTACCTTCCTTCTTTTAAGTTGCAAAAATATCAAAAGTACAAGTTTGTACCAAAAAAAGAAGAAAAAAAATGACAAGTGGCAAGAAAATAGAGTTGCTCTTCATTCCTTCTCCAGGAATTGGTCACTTAGTATCCACAGTAGAAATGGCAAAACTTCTCATAACTAGAGAAAAGAACATGTCCATTACAGTTCTTATTATCCAATCACCTCATGACAACAAGCTCCCTTCTTATATTCAATCATTAACCAATTTCAGCTCAAGTTTGAAATTCATTCACCTCCCTCAAGATGACACTGTTTTAAAGCTACTCAAAAGTAACCTTTTCACCTCCTATATTCCTGCTCATAAGCCTGCAGTTAGAGATGTTGTAGCTGAAATTGTCAAGACACAATCAAATGTTACACTAGCAGGTATGTATTTCAAATTAACTTTATGTGTCCAAGGCTTTGATACAGTAACAAGGTATGTTGCTTGGACTCTTTAAAAATGTTGATGGATATGTGTGTCGGATACTGCAAAAGTAGTGTACATAATTTTGGAGAGATTGAACATACAACTTGTGATTTATAGATTAGATGCATGTCATCATTGTCATGAATTTGGCTGCTACTACAAAAACAAAAAGATTGGTACTTCCTTCCCTCCCAACTTTATGATACTTTTAAGCATTTCGAGAGACAAATAGTTTTTCTCAAAGCATGATATGCCTTTTCAAGTATTAAAAATTATTAATTATTGTGACTTATAGTATGTTTCAAATATAAATTTTATTTACAAAAGCTTAAAGATTATATGCCCGAATTCATGGTCAAAATTTAAAAGTTTGGCTCTCGAAATCCAAATGATGTCGCATGACCGGGGGAGTATTTTAAGTTGAAAGGGGTGTTGCACTACTACACCAACCTTCTCAATTTAACGCGACTAGAAAATGTATTTCAATGACTTTATTGTTATTGTGGGTAGAGTAAAGGCTTATTTTTTTAATTTTTTATGCTACAATGATAGTTTTGAAATTTTAGTCTTATGATGGATAAAGTTCAGTAATTATACGTGAAAATTCACGTGCAGGTATCGTCATCGACTTATTTTGCACCTCCATGATAGAGGTGGCCAATGAATTCGAGCTACCAGCCTATGTTTTCTACACCTGTGGAGCAGCTCCTCTTGGACTTCAGTTCCATATACAGAGCCTTACTGATGACTTTGGAAGAGATATTACTAATTACAAAGATGAACCTGAAGCAGAACTTTCTATACCAACATATTTCAATCCATTTCCTGCAAAATGTTTGCCCTCTGTCGCGTTAGACAAGGAAGGAGGTTCCGCCATGTTTCTTGACCTTACAAGAAGGTTTAGAGAAACCAAAGGTATAATGATTAATACCTTTCTTGAACTGGATTCTCACGCGATAAACTTCCTCTCACAAGACAAGAATATACCACCGGTTTACCCTGTGGGACCTGTATTGAACCTTAATAATGTTCAAGGTGACAACTTGAGTTTATCAGACCAGAATATGATGAAATGGTTAGATGATCAACCCACTTCATCTGTAGTGTTCCTCTGTTTTGGTAGCGGAGGAAGTTTTACGATAGAGCAAGTTAAGGAAATATCATATGCTCTCGAGAATAGTGGGTGTCGGTTTTTGTGGACATTGAGACAACCACCACAGAAAGATGCAACACTTCCAGGTGACTATGAAAATTTTGAAGAAGTATTGCCAGAAGGGTTCTTGCAGAGAACACAAGGGATTGGAAAGGTATTGTTGTTATTTTTCTTTCTTTTCTTTTTCTCACATGGAGTCAGGTCCTGATCCATATTCAAAGCTCGAACCTGAAACTCTTGATTAAGAGTGGAGGAGCGTTCATTTTATTTTGAATGATTTAGAACTAGCATACTAAAAAATACATTTTATTTATAAAAAAAAAAAAAGCAATATCCAATTTTTCATAATTCTATCTTTTGGCTCCTCATTTCTCACCCTCTTCAAGAATCCTGTTTCTTTTTTTTTCGCTCCAAAATCCTATATAAAGAGTTGAGAGATTTAAGAGTATTCCGAACTTCTATTCGAATATACATTACAAATTTTCTGGATGATGCATTGTATTTTGGGAGTACGTTGTCACTTGTTATCTAGATATAAAATCTACTCTGAAGACAACGACTTTCATAGTGTACCATTAACTTCATTTTATCTTGTATTACTAATTATTACATCTTATTATTTCCATCTCTACTATTTTTCAACAGGTGATAGGATGGGCACCTCAATTGGCCATTTTATCTCACAAAGCAGTGGGTGGCTTTGTGTCGCACTGTGGATGGAATTCGACTTTGGAAAGCACCTATTTTGGAGTGCCAATGGCTACTTGGCCAATGTACGCAGAGCAGCAAGCAAATGCATTTCAGTTGGTTAAGGATTTGGAAATGGCAGTCGAGCTAAAGATGGATTACAGGAAGGAACCAACAGGGAAGATGGGCCAAAAAGTTATAGTGAAAGCAGAGGAGATTGAGAAAGCAATAAGAGAACTTATGGACCCTGAAAATAAAATTCGGATGAAAGTGAAGGAGATGAAAGAGAAGAGCAGAGCAGCAACCACGGAAGGAGGCTCTTCTTACACTTCTATTGGAAGTTTCATCCAGAGTATCATGGAGAATACTCCATGATTAGCTGCTTTGATATGTTTTTCCTTGAACCTAGGGTCTATCAGAAACAACCTCTCTACCTCTAGAAGGTAGAAGTAAGGTTTGCATACAGTTTACTCTCCCCTGACCCACTTGTGGATTACGTGGAGTATGTTGTTGTTGTTGTTGTAATTTGATCGATATAGTTGGTTATGTACCCTCGTTTCTAAGTTACTAGCAAAGGTTGCCCGTGCTGAGCACGACCAAGATTGTATTAGTTGTTATAATATCTTTTTTTAGCTGAATTTGTTTCTCAGTAGTTTTTAGTTCACACGTCCAAGCACATATAGATCAGCATTCAGCATTCCCACTCAAAATGAAAAATTAAGCCAAAAAAGAAAAAGAGGAAGA